CTCCCTCTCCCCCTCCCTCTCCCCCTCCCTCTCCCTCTCCCTCTCTCTCTCTCTCTGCCTGTGGATCAGGATGTAGTTCTCAGGTATTGCTCCAGTGCCTGCCTGCATGCTGCCAAGTCCCACCATGATGATAATGTACTAAACCTCTAAAACTACAAACAAACCCCTAATTTAAATACCTTATCTTATTGGTTGGCCAGGAGTAGTGGCGCACACCCTTAATCCCAGCACTTGGGAAGTAGAGGCATGGGGATCTCTGTGAGTTCAAGGCCAGCCTGGTCTACAAAGTGAGTTCCTGCTGTTACACAGAGAACCCCTATCTCAAAAAACAACAACAACAACAAAGGAATTTCCTTGGTCGTGGTGTCTCTTCACAGCAATAGAACAGTGAATAAGACAATAGCTAACTTCTGTTCCAGAGGATCCAAAGACTTCTTCTGACCTCTACAGGCACCAGGCATGCATATGGTACTCATACATACATACATGAAAAACACTCACACACATAAAATAAATAAATCTTAAAAAAAATCAAAAGAAAGAATGTCAATGGAAGAAGGGAAGAAAGAAAAAGAAGGATGTACTGTTTACATCCTTTTGACATAGTACTGGGTGTAAGTCATCTAAAGATATAGTATTTAGGAGGCTGTCACAGGTTATATACAAGTACTGCACCGTTTTGTTTTATTTTTTACATTGCTTGAGAGAGAGCATTCGCACATGCAGCACACATGTGTGTGGAGATGAGAGGAAAACGTGCAGGAGTTGGTTTTCCCTTCCACCGCTATGGATCATGAAAACTGGAACGCAGATTGTGAGGGTGGCACCCAGGCCTGCACCATTGTCTTGCAGGGACTTGAGCACTGGAGGAATCTGATATTCCTGAGGCGTCCTAGAACCACCAATCCCTTGCAGATGATGAGAGAGGACTGGAACTGTCTGGTCTTAGTCCCCAGTTCCTGGCACAAGCTTCAAAAACTTCTCAAATTTCCTGAGTGAAGCAAGTGTCTTTCCTGGTGGTCCTGAGAAAACTTCCAAATGGCCACCAAAGAAAAACCAACCAAGTGATTAGAGGACTACCAACCAATATCTCAGGAGGGGAGGAGGAGGGAGACTGAGCTCAAACACATGGCCAAATAATCCACTAACCATGCCTCTATACAAATATTCCAATAAAAACTCTGGAGAAAGGGCTGGAGATAGCTCAGTGGTTAAGAGCACTGGCTGCTCTTCCAGAGGACCTGGGTTCAATTCCCAGCATCCACATGGCAATTCATAACAATCATGTAACTCCAGTCCCAGGGTCTCTGAGGGACCAAGGGACCAAGCACACACATAGCGCACAGGCATACATGCAAACAAAACACCCCAACATATACATACATACATATATACATACATACATACATACATACATACATACATACATACATACATACCTCTGGAGAAGCCAGGTGTGGTGATACACACCTTTAATCCCAGCAAACAGGAGGCAGAAACAGGCCTGGTCTAGTTTGAGGCCAGACAGGGCTAAATGAGACCCTGTTTGGTTTATTTGGGTTTAGTTTTTTGTTTTTTTAAATACCTCAGGCTGGCACAAACATCTAATCCCAGCATTTGGGAAGCAGAAGCAAGAGGATCAAAGCCAGCATCTATTATATTGCCCAGTCTAGGCTACTGAGACCCTGTTTATATATAAAAGCTGGTGGGGGTGTTGGGTGTGGGCGTTACTAGGTAAAGGAGCTTAGCACCAAGCCTGATGACTTGAGCTGGATCCTCCACGTGGGCACTATGGCACACAATGCACACACTCACACACAAATGTAATTTAAAAAAATTTTTTTCGGAGCTGAGGACTAAACCCAGGGCCTTGTGCTTGCTAGGCAAGCACTCTACCACTGAGCTAAATCCCCAACCCTAAAAAAAATTTTCATAAAGTTGGGCATAGTCACACATGCCTGAAATCCCAGCATTTGGGGGAGCTTAAGGCAGAAAGATCAGAAGCTCAAGGTCACCCTCCTCTGTGTAAAAGATGGAGACCAACCTGGACTACATAAAACACGGTCTCAAGGAAGTTAAAAAATAAGCCAAATGGTGGTGGCGCACACCTTTAATGCCAGCACTGAGAGGCAGAGGCAGAGGCAGGCAGAACTCTATGAGTTCGAGGCCAGCCTGGGCTACAGAGTGAGTTCCAGGATAGGCTCCAAAACTACATGGAAAAACCCTGTCTTGGAAAAAAGAAAAGAAAGAAAGAAAATTGAAAAATTAAAAACGTAGTGAGCTGACATGAGTTACGTGTACCGCCCAGTGCGGCCCCAGAAGCACCACACTTAGACAGACCTTGTCTTGCAGAGGTGTGTAGGAGATTGTTATCCCTGCTGCTGTAGTTGCTTTTGCCTGATGTCTGCCACCTTGTTCCCTGTTCCCTTCTCTCTGGTAAATTTACAAGGGCACAGTGCCCATGGGGAAATTAATCACACCTGTTAAAGACTGCCTTTAAGCTACAGTGTTTTTCACTAGGCCTAATTAACGGCTTTTAACATCCTCTCAAGAACATGCGACAGGGTACCTAGAGGCATTTAACAATCTACCAAATCCCAAATAAACGCCAAAAATGTTCTGCCATCTCTGGGTTCGATTTTCCCAACACCACAGCTATAAAACCAAGAGTTCTTCACTGGTTTGAATATTGCTAGTCAGACTATAGTGCATTACTGTGCATGTACCAGGGCAGTTCCAAGTGCCAAGATGTCACCAATATGTGGTTCCATCCCAATTACTAATCAAAGCTAAATCTCAGAGGATTCAGTGTTGGAGGACTTTTCTAGTATCACCAACACTGAAAAAAAAATCGGCAGGCATGGTGGTGGATTCCTATAAACTCAGTATTTGTGAGATAGAGGCAAGAGAATCAGTTTCAGTCCAATCTGGGCTACATGACACCCATTCTAAAAACAAAAACACTACCTAAATCTCAAGCCAAGCATGTTGGCACTCACCTGTTATCTCAGCACTCAGGAGGCTGAGGCAGGAGGATCACGAAATTGAAGCCAGTATGGGCTAGACTATGATGACCTTGTCTCAAAAGTGGAAGGGGGCTTAATGGCTGTTGTTCTTCCAGAGGACCCAAATTTGGTTCTCAGAACCTGAATGGAAGCTCACAACTGTCTGTAACTCCAGTCTCAGAAGATCTTACACCCTCTTCTAGCCTTTCTGGACACCAACCATGCACAAGGTATACAAATATGCATGCAGACACGCATTCATACACATAAAAAAACCACTACATCTGTAGGCAACTGCAACTTCAACAAGTAGAAAGCATGGAGTTATCTACCCATTCACCATGCTGTGACACACACACCCTGGGAGGTAGAAGCAGGAGGATCAGGAGTTCAAAGTCATCTTTAGTTACATAGAGAGTTTGAGGCCAGCCTGAGCTACAAGAAACTTTGTCTCAAAAATAAATAAGAAGAAAAACAAGACTGGATCACTGGGGCTGAAGAGATAGCTCAGCGGTCAAGAGGACTTACAGCTCTTGCAGAGGACATGAGTTAGATTCCCAGCACCCACATCAGACAGCTCGAAACCACCTGTAACTCCAGTTTCAGGGGATCCGATACCCACAATTTCTTTGGACACCTGTACTCACTTATACAAACCCACACACATACATATAAATTCAAAATAATAAAGATAAATCTTAAAAAATAAGAGACTTGGATCACTGTTACAGGTCTTAGACTCCACAACAGCCACAGTTGGGACTCTATCTTCCTCCTCTAAGCTCTCAGCAATCCAATGCAAAATGTTTTATTTATCTTTTTCTGTTCTGGAAACCAGGCTGTATTTGCTTAATCCACATGCAAAGCACTGTCTACCAAGAGGAAGAGTACACAAAACAACTGAACCAAAACAAATTGACCCAGACATTAAGAGAAGAGAGAGAAAGAGACAGAGAGAGAGACAGAGACAGAGAGAGACCCTTCTTTTAAAAGCCAGTTCAGGCTTGGAAGGCTCAAGCAGAGGACTCTATCAGCTCGCTCCCCGAGAACAGATACCCCATTAGGCATCTGTAAGAGAACCTAGAGCTCGAAGAAAGGTTTTCTAGCAAGCCTCACCCTGATCCTGAGCTTCAGTCACACCACTCTTTATAAACTGTAGCCAACTGTAACCCCTCATACCATGAGCTTACTGGGAACAAGAGCGAGAAAGAAAAAGGAAATTTAAATGTCAGAATACCCAGGTTGGAAGTCCTGCAGACAGAAGGCCAGAGCCTAAATTAGGGTAATTTATGGAGAAATGAAATCAGCCAGGCCACTTATATGAACCGAAAACATAGCGTGAATGTCAGCATACTGGGTGATTTAAAGTGTGTTAAGCTGTAACAGGTACAAAAGAAAACCGAATGAAGCAGTATGTGTCCTGGCAAAACAAAGCATGAAAAAAGGCTAAGGAGACAGCACACAGTACTCTTACTAGAAGTTCACTGAGCTAAAATGTCCACCCTGAGCCTCAAGGGACAGCTCATGACTGTTTTCAGCACATGGCATGTAGGAGAATCAGGAATTCAGGTCAGCCTGGGTTACATGAGACCGTGTGGCTCAGTGAGTAAAGGCATTTGCCACATATCCTCACACCCTGATTTTGATCTCTGAAACCAACCTAAAGCTAGGAGAGAATGGATTCCATCCACAAAGTTGTCCTCTGATCTCCACACACGGGTCATGGCAGAAGCTCTCTCTCTCTCTCTCTCTCTCTCTCTCTCTCTCTCACACACACACACACACACACACACACACACACACACACACACACACACAAAGTGAATCAACAACTTTTAATCTAAGGAGCACCAAGCACCAACCTGATCAGGGTCCACATGACAAAACATAGAAATCTTCTCCTTCACAGCCATCTCGATGGGTGCTGAACTACGGCAGATAATCTGTGAAAGGCAGTGATGCATGGGTCAGTAAATGGGAACAGGGCTGATCAAACTGCCCAAGTCATCGACAGAAAATCATTCTATGCTTTGTTTTCTACAAGAGACTAGACCAAGGATGCACTTGTTCACTCTGGGCACCCCGCTGGCCGCTAGCAGAAGCACTTCTCCCTAAGTTCAACAGAAGTCTACCAGAAAGAACTCCGAGCATCCAAATGTCTCTGGCGGACCTAAAGCTCTACAGGGCTGTTTCATTAAATAGAAGAGGGGGTAGATCCAAAGTTAACAAACTTTCACGAAAGGGTCCCACAGGAAACATTTTAGCTTTCCAGGGAAGGCACTGGGGATCCTACTATGGGCTGTGCCAAAACAGCTACAGACTATATGCAAATAAATAAGTAATTGTGTGTCCATAAATTTTTATTTAGAAAAATAGGCAGCTGTACTGGGCCATGGTGGCACACACCTTTAATCCCAGCACTCGGGAGATGGAGACAGGTGTATCTCTGTGAGTTTGAGGCCAGTCTGGTCTACAGATCGAGTTCCAAGACAGGCTCCAAAAGCTACACAGAAACTCTGTCGAGAGAGAGAGAGAGAGAGAGAGAGAGAGAGAGAGAGAGAGAGAGAGAGAGAGAGAGAGACCCTGTCCTGAAAACCCAAAAAGGCAGCTGCTTTGTGGACCCCCGACAAGCTGCTGGCTGTAACTGGGTTACCTATATAGGAACACATGAATGCTTCTTAGACTAAAGCTCAGAGCAAAGATAGCCAGTCCTTGAAGGGACACAGGAAAATCCCAAGGCTTCCCATTCACTCTGAAGGAGCCAGGAACCTTATAAATGACAGAGCATTGCTGTATCTTGTCTGCTATAAATGGAGCCAATTTAAGGATAAAGAAATACTCGTTTCCTGGATGCCAGATACAAAGTTTGCTGTCCCAGGAGCCATTTGAGAGGGACAAATGACTCAGATGTTAAGTTAAAGATTCAGGTATGGGACGGGGGTATAGTTCAAAGGTAGAGCATGTGCTTAGTAGGTGCAAGGCCCTAAGTTCCATCCCCAGCAGCCAAACCAAAGAGTAAATAAGCCATTCTTAGTGGGTGTTCTAGCCTGTGAAACGCAGGCAGGTCCTACTCCAAAAGACCTTGGAGACAAACTTAGAGACCCACTGTGCTTAACTCACCAGATCTGGAGACAAACCCAAGCCCCTCAGCAAGCGGACGCTGTTCTGTGTGGGTTTGGTTTTTTGTTCCCCAGTCGCACTGGGCTAAAAAGAAAGAACAAATGGACAATTTATGGCTCTTGAACTTCAAATGGAGGTCACCTAAAATATCAGTGCAAAACTGACCAAAGTTCGCTAGCCCCATACTTATGTGGAAAGGCCCACCTGTGGAACGAGGCTGACGTGAATGTTACAGAAATTCTCTTTTTTGGCTTTAAACTGGAACTGTCGGAACGCTTCCACAAATGCCATTCCTTCAATGTCGCCAATAGTGCCTCCCAGCTGAGGGGGGAAAAGGAAAATAAGGCACAGATGACCAAACATCTCCCACAGTCCACAAACCAACGAAACTCTCTTGCTTTTTAAGTTAGTTTTCTGTTGAGATGGGGTCTGACTATATAGTCCTGGCTGACCTGGAACTCCCTATATAGAGCAGGATGGTTCTGAAGTCAGAGATCTGCCTACCTCTGCCTCCCAAGTGCTGGGATTAAAGGCATGTACCACAATGGCCAGCTAAATTAAGTAATTAATTACTTTTGGGGAGAGTTTCATACTGTAGCCCAGGGTGGCCTGGACTTCTACATAGCCCAGGCTGGCCTTGAACATGTAACATGAGCCACCACACCTGATTTAGAAATAATTTTGTTTTGTTTTATTTTTATTTTTCAAGACACGGTTTCTTTGTATAACTCTGGCTATCCTGGAAATCTTCACTCTATAAACCAGGCTGGCCTGTAACTCAGAGATCTGCCTGCCTCTGCCTCCTGAGAGCTGGTTTTAAAGGTGTGTGCCACCATCCTAGCTTTAGACATAATTTTAATAGACTGAGGGATAAGAACTGAAGTTTAATACTTTCACAAGAACAGAAGTCTAAAAATGTTAAAAATCATTAAATTATACACTTAAAATGAATGAAATTTTATGATATTAAACTTCAATAAAACTATTAATAAAAAATCCTGGGCTGAAAAAAAAATCCTGGTCTGGTAAGAAACATCTGTAATCCCAGCACTGGAAAAACTGAGGCAGGAGTATGAAAGGACCAAGCAGATGCCATAACAGGCTGCTCAGTCTTCTCTCGGAGATCAGGCCTCAATTTAAGTTTTCTGAGAATTGAGCAAGCAGTTTCTGGGAAGGCCATGAACAAAAGACATAGTCTTTGCAATAGCTCCCTATCTGCATGTACTCTGACCGTTCAAGGTTCAGCCAACTGTTTACTGTCTGGGACCCCCCACCAACTTAGAGCTATGTGCATGAGTCAAGGACAGAGCCTGGGCCCCTGAGCAGCCCCCACAGTCAGTATGTGCTGGGCCAGCCAGCCTCCATGGCAGCTCAAGGACAGAGCCTGGGACTTGTCCAGGCCCCGTCCCTAAATGATAACTGTAACCCCCAACCAGTAAATTCAAAGGTTACACACCCTCACCCAATCCATATGATGCAAAGACTTGTACCACCCTGCCTGCGGTTTTTCCCTTTAAAAACCCCTCACCCTGAGAGCTCAGAGCCATCCTTCTTCACCCGCTGTGTCGAGTGTTGAACACGGACCAAGCCCGGGCTTGCTAGTTATCAATAACCCCCTGTGTATTTTGCATTGGGGTCTCGTGATGTGGCTACAACAATCACAAGTTCAAGACTAGCCTGGAGTACATATATCTGACCTCAAAAAAAAAAAAAAATCCAGGCATGGTGACAAAAAGAAGGTGAGGCAGAAGGATGGACTGTCTTGAGTCTGAGGCCTTCCTGGGCTAAATAGTGAGTTCTAGGCCAGCTTGGGCTATAGTGAGACTCAGTCTCAAAGAAGAGACAGAGAGGATAGAGAGAAGGCTCGGTGATGAAAAGAAAGCACTGGCTGCTTTTCCGGAGGACCTGGGTTCAACTCGCAGCACCATGGCAGCTGACCACTGTCTGTAACTCCAGTCCGAGAGGCTGCTCCCCTCCGTCCCTGGAGAATGTACCATGTACACAGGCATGGTACACAGGCATACATACAGGGGAGCCACCCCCACAGAAAAATAAGATGCTAACAAGTAAAGCAACTTTTAAAATCATCAAGACAGGAGAGAGACAGGGACACAGAACCCACAGGCAGGTAGAAAGTTCCAAGGGCTGGCAAGATGGCCCAGTGGGTAAAGGCACTTGCCACCGAGCCTGAGGACCTATGTTTAAGGGACCCTGGGACCTTACCAGGTAACGAGAACTTCCTCTCACAACTTTTCCTCTGACCTACACAGGCATACCCTGGCATGCACACTGTGACACATGTATGTGCACACACACACACACACACACACAGAGTAAATAAATGTAAAAGAAAAATTCACAATAAAAAATGAATGTAATGAAAAGAATCATCCAAAACAGAGACCACAGAAGAGAAAGGTAAGACTATTTCTACCAATGGTCCTAGTTGGAATAAAATACTCAAATCCTGTGATGAGAAAGGTTGATGGCCACCTGTTTCTGCTTGGGTGGTTCAATGGATTGAAATAGTGATGCTGGGTGGTGGTGGCCCATGCCTTTAATCCCGGCACTGGGGAGGCAGAGGCAGGCGGATCTCTGTGAGTTCAAGGACAGCCTGGTTTACAGGGCGAGTTCCAGAACAGCCAGAGGGGTTACACAGGAAAACCCTGTCAAGAAAGAAGAGGAAGGAAGG